CCCCTCTTCTGCCGCCCCCCCCCCCCCCCGCGGCCACTACCTAGGAAAATATGGCACAGTTTTGTGGTGCCAGCCACTGGGCCAGGCCCCACTTCCATGATAGAGAACCGTCAAGGACCTGCAGGGGGGGGGGGAGAATTTCCCCCATATCCCTCTCCCCACATTATTTCCCCTTTCCTTCCTCCTGGCAATCCCCATATCGTCTTCCCTTTCCCTGTCTCCTTCTCTCCCTCTCAGCCACTCACCAACCTGTCTTTTACCTACCTCCCATCTTCAGCTATATTTATTATTTATTTACTTCATTTATACCCTACCTTTCTCCACAGTGGGGATCAAAGCAGCTTACATCATTCTCCTCTCCTCTTTTTTATTCTCACAACAACCCTGTGAGGTAGGTTACGCTGAAAGCATGTAACGGACATCAGCTAGTGAGCTTCCGTGGCAGACTGGTGATTTAAACCTGCATCTCCCAAACTGTACTCTGTTTTGTTACACCACAGTGGCTTTAATAGGGTGGCTGCTATTGAACAGTAGCAAGCAGCCAGGCCAAGGTAAATCATGCTGTCAGATGCTACCAGGTTACCCAGTAGCTGCTGCCAGGCCTGGCCCTGATGAGTCCTCACTCACTGGCCAAAACAGCCTTGAAAAGGGTCCTGCTCCCCCCTTTGCCTTTTAATGGCAAAAAAGCCTAGAATTCTGTGGTTGCATAGTAACTGCCAATGAGGACTTCATTTTTTAAAGCTAATATTATTCCTTGTATAATTTGGGGGTTTTTATCCCCTCCCCCCCCCATATTCTTTTTTAGGTTTCTGATTTTTCTGCAAGCCTGGGGCATTTTTGTATAAAGATCTGATTGTATCACGTGCACAATCACATGGAACTGCCTTATAATGAATCAGACCCTTGGTCAATCAAAGCCAACATTGTCTTTGACTGGCAGCAGCTCTCCAGCGTCTCAAGCAGAGGTCTTTCACATCAACTACTGCCAGATCTTGTAACTCGAGATGTCGTGGACTGAACCTGGGACCTTCTGCATTCCAAGCAGAAGGGCTTTATGCAACAAACCCCAAATAAAATAAAATATTAGCAGTCACCAATATACATATACTCATGCTTCTGCACAAACCCAACAGTAAAAGAATAACTTTTTCCTCAATTATATAGCCTTGAGGAGATTATATACATAGACATTGAACAGAATGTACGATTCTTATTTACTTGCTGTCAAATCTCAACTGATTTATGATAATCCTGTAGGGTTTTCAAAGTAAGAGATCTTCAAAGATCATTTGCCATTGCCTGTCTCTGTGTAACAACCCTGGTATAGTTTGGTGGTCTCCCTTCCAAATACTGACCAAGGGCTAATGCTGCTTAGATCAGGCTGAACTAGGCTAGGGCACTATCCTTAATAATAACACCACTGATAACAGCTGCATGTCAACAAGTTGATATATGTCCTACTTGCTTGACCAGTTTTAGATTTTAGAAATACAGTTTTTAGGCAGTACTATATGGTCATTATGCTTCTGAGAGATATATTACTAGAATAAAGGCTCTGTTTTCTATTCAGTGTGCCCTTACTATGCATTCAAGTCTGTTTAGCTAATAAATCTCCTCTTGAACCTCTGGTGCAGAGTAAGAACATAAGAGAAACCGATGGTGGATCAGGCCAATGGCCCATCCAGTCCAATACTCTGTGTCACAGTGGCCAAAAATAACAGGTGCCATCAGGAGGTCCACCAGTGGGGCCAGGACACTAGAAGCCCTCCCACTGTTGCCCCCCCCAAGCACCAAGAATACAGAGCATCATTTGCCCCAGACCAAGAGTTCCTATCTATACCTTGTGGCTAATAGCCACTGATGGACTTCTGCTCCATATGTTTATCCAATTCCCTCTTGAAGCTGCCCATGCTTGTAGCCACCACCACCTCATGTGGCAGTGAATTACATGTATTAATCATTCTTCGGGTGAAGAAGTATTTCCTTTTATCCATTCTAACCGGACTGCTCAGCAATTTCATTGAGTGCCCACAAGTTCTTGTACTGTGAGAAAGGGAGAAAAGTACTTCTTTCTCTACCTGCCCTGTGCCATGCATAATCTTGTAAACCTCGATCATGTCACTCCTCAGTTGTCGTTTCTCCAAGCTAAAGAGCCCCAAGCGCGTTAACTTTTCTTCATAGGGAAAGTGTTTCAACCCTTTTATCATTCTAGTTGCCCTTTTCTGCACTTTTTTCAATGCTATAATATCCTGGTGGCCAGAATTGCACATAGTATTCCAAATGAGGTTGCACCATCAATTTATACAGGGGCATTATGATACTGGATTATTTGTTTTCAATTCCCTTCCAGCATAGTGTTGGCCTTTTTTACTGCAGTCACACACTGTCTTGGCATTTTCAGTGAGTTACCAACTACGACTCCAAGATCTCTCTCTTTGTCAGTCTCCGCCAGTTTGGATCCCATCAACGTGTATTTATAGTTAGGACTTTTGGCTCCAATGTGCATTGCTTTGCACTTGGCCACATTGAACCCCATTTACCATATTGATGTCCACTTGCCCAACCTCGACAGATCCCTTTGGAGTGCCTCACCACCCTGAACAATTCCGTGTCATTAAGTAAAAGTATCAAGGTTATATACACTCTGCCCACTGTGGTTGGGCAAGACTGAAACTAGGCACCACCTACACCAATTAACATGCTTACCACATAGGCACAGAACCTATTAACAAATGAATGAGTAAAACAACAGAAGATATGCAGTGTAACTCTAAACAGTTACACCCTCCAAGGACATTAAATTCAAGGGCATAACTTTGTTTAGGATTACACTGACAACCTACCAAAACTCAGAAATAATTGTTGGGAGACCCCTGTTGAACTTAATCCAGTGGAATACCAAGTAATTTTCTTTACCTGTTTACAAAGTAAAGCCCTGAATTTAAGAGAAAAAGCAAATGTATTAACAAGTCAATGTGTTAAGAAGGGTGTAACTCTACTTCAAATTGCAGTGATTAAAAGTGTTTCTACCTTGTGCTCTGAAAATGGCTTTTGTGTGTAACCAAAAAATGAGCAGAAAGGGGGAGGCCTCATAACAAAAACATGAGGACATAAGAAGAGCCCTTCTGGATTAGACCAGTGGTCTATCTTGTACAGCATCCTGTTTTACACAGTGGCTTTGACTCTCTAAAGCTTATACCCACAAAATCTTGTCAGTTTCTAAGGTTCTACTGGACTTGAATGTAGTGGCCAGGAGGAAGACCAACAACAGGGCATAGAAAACAAGGCCTTCTCCTGATGTTGCCTCCTGGCACTGGTATTCAGAATTTTACTGCCTTGGAATTCCATTAGTCACCATGGCTAGTAGCCACTGACAAACCTATCCTCCATGAATCTATCTAACCCCATTTTAAGGCTGTGCCTGTGGCCATTACTATATTCGCTGACAGGAAAGTGAACATTTTACTGCCATATTTTATTAACTGCATGCCCTCAAGTTCTAGTATTTCTGGGAGACAGACAGACTTAGCAAACGGCTGTCTTCCACTGATTTTCTTAATAACTTATCATAACCTTGAAAACAGCAATTACAAAAGGGTTCTTTCATATATTTTCAGCTTCTTAAACAAAATAGTGCCTAACTTCCTACTGCAGGACTTTCTCACAAACAGCCGGTACAGACACTTCAATCCAATGGAGGTGTTTTTTCCCAGTTTACAATTACAGCCTTTTTGAGCAACCATCCAAATAACACCTGAGAAAAGAAGCTCTGATAATCCTTCAAGGTCCAAATGTTAAGCAGTACCCTCTCGAACTCAAACCTCAAGTTCACAAAACCATAGGATTCTCTCCCCCCCCCCCGCCCCCGGGTTGGGGGCCCCCCCCCCCCGCCCCCCGGTTGGGGTGGACAGACATATCTCGCAAATTTCGCCACTCACCATACTGCACCAACCGCCGCTTCCACCACCGCCGCCGCCTCCTCGCGGACTCTCCCCACACCCAACACATAAATCTTTCCCGCGCGAGCCAAGCCGCACAGGAAGTTCGGTGGGGAAGGGGGCTGTGAGAAAGGAAAACACTCCGGGAGGCTCAGAATTCCTCTCCCCTAACAGCACCAGTTTCTGCTGCCCGGGCTCACGCCTCCTGAGCCTGCAGAGGTCACACCAGGACCCCACTAGACAAGGACCCGGCAATGTTTCGAGGAATATGCCTGAAAAAGAAATACACTTACATTTCCTACTCGTATTGAACGACCGCCTTAGTCCCATGACGGCTCCGTTAGTACTTCGATACTCGGAGTTTCCGAGACAAAAAGGAGATAATTTTTCTCAAAAGAAGCCATTCTTTAGGCTTCACTCGTAACAGGCACAGATCGAACAGCCAGAAACTCGAGGAGTTCTGCGCGCGGGCGACACCACTGGTGGAGACGTTGTCACGTGATACGGGAGGTCAGTACATAGATCGCTCTTGTGATCCTCCTAGAAGAGTCAGGGGTGAACTAAGGACATACAGCTTTTTAGGTCCCCTGCAGTCTGTAGTAGTCGGAAAGACTCTCAAAGTGATCTATAAAGGTTAACAAGACAAGAAGAAATCAAATGGAACCCTATTAAAGGAGAGGGTCATTTACGCATGCGCTGACTGTTGGCAACCAGTGGCTTGCTATATTCACGTTGACTGTCGCGCGTGCGCGCTATCCAGTAGTCTACTGAAGTTGCATGAACCCGTAAATTTTGGCTAGTATGTCTTGTGCCGCTAGAGCAAAAACGTCAGGGATGTGCGCGCGTGTGTTTCTGTGCGCGAGCCTTTGGAATCTCGCGTGAATCAGAAGATGGTGGAGGCGGGCCTGGATCAGAGTAGGATTTTTCTGTGTGCTGAGGAGGAGGAGGAGGAAGGTCATTTTCGGTGGTTCCTGCGAGACGTGTGTTCTCACCTACACAGAAGCCTCAGAATAAATTTCTATCCTTTCCGAACTCAACTGATTAAGACAGTAAATTATTTCACGTGCCCTTCTGGTTGTTAAGTCACTGAAATGTCTCAACAAAAAAGCATTCCAGACTTGTGATATTTGTTTCTTTAATATTTTTTTTAATCCTGCCTTTTCTCAAGGAGTACAGGTGGTGTAGGTAGGTTCTTCCTTTTGCAGTTCTTCCCCGTGTGGTAGGTGAGACTTGTCATCCACCGAGCAGAGTGGGAATTTGAAACTGGGACAGTGTCCACACTCCATGCCACTTTGGAGTTCTTTGATTTGTTGGATTTAATTGCACCTTCTTCATAGATTTATGGTCGTTTTATGGCTGTTCAGAGGTGACTCTGCAGTCACTACAGTGTTGCCCTGAGGTATTTGGATGTGGTTTTGAGCTGCACTTTTTCCTCCCAGTTGAGAAAATGTGGAGCAAATGCTAGATGCAGAATCACCCTGGGTCTCCCACCTGTAACACTTCCAAAGCACCAGACTGAAAGCCGAGAGTAAATAAGTACTTTTGCTTCAAAATAACTACCCATTGCTTTGGAGCAGGAGAAATTTGGCAGAGTAGGTTATTTAAATAGTGCAGATTACATTTGTGCTTATTGAAATGAAAGGGATTTAATGCTGTTAACTCAGGCAGGGCTGTATCTTAGCATTTATATAGTAATTTTTTTCAAGACACTTGATATAAAACATCAAAATAATCTCTAACAGCTTTAGAAGGCAGGTGATTATAATTATTGAATACACATTGGTGCATCCATATCACTTTATTCAAACTGCAATCCTAATGTGCCTATGGTCATGTCACCAGCTTTCACTGTGAAAAAGGAATAAACATTATTGAGTTCTGTAAGCTAAAAGAACTGTAAGTAGTGACTGAGATCAGACAGTGGATTGATTTTGATTTGTTTTGCTTTTAGTAAGTTAGCCTGTCTCCGTCAAAGCTTACTCTTCTCACCCCCCCCCCCCCCCCAAAAGATTTTGAGATGAGACTTTGGGACTTAATTGTTGATTAATGTAATGCATTTATTGCCATTCAAGCACCGAAGTGAGGTGTGTTTTTTTAGTTCATCATATGTATTTTCTTACATTTTATTCATTAAATGACAGACTGTGTTAAAACACAAGCCAAGTGTCAATTTTCCTCATGCTTACAAATCATGGTAAAGAGAGATCACATATATATGTTAAATATGATAAAATCAAAAAATGTTGACATTAACCCATAATTGCATTGGATATTTCTATCCCATTATTCCTCCAAGAACTTTAAGGTAGTCTGCAAGGAAGTATCTCATTTTAGGCTAGGAGTAGGTTAAAACAGTAGCCATTCCTCTTTCAGTAAAATGTATGAATATGGGGATAGTGACTAAAATCCAAGATGATACCCCAAAGCCTCCTTGAGTAGAGGTCACATTTTAAAGTACCCCCAACATCATAGGCCTTGTATGGTTGCAAGGTGCAGCAGGGCCAATGTTTGAAATTAACATGCAATTTAAAGGCTGGTTCAGGAGGGAGTACTGAAGTCCTGATATGCCCTGGTCAAAGGGTTTGTTTTATAGCTTTTAAGTTCATCAACTTCCAAACTGTAGTTAAAGACCAGGGCTTTTGGAATGATAACACCTCACAATTCAGGAACTTCTGGACACTCTTATTGAACCTTGGCTCTGGCAATTCTGGCCATTGTCAGAAGAAATGAGTCACATGTGCCCACCCACGTAGTTCAGTCATCCCAGCCAGGCTGTCAAGAACTTTGGTTCCCTCAAAATGGAGTCTGCTTTAAAAGTTTGGTTTGAGTCTGGCTGCGGCCTGCTCTTGTTAAAAATGTTGTCTTTAAGTCTCCTTAGTTCACACACTCAGCACCTGCAAGATAAGATGTTCTCTTGCGGCCTTGGCTCATTACCATCCCAAAGCAATTAAGCCCTGTGGGAAGGCCTGGTGTTGTGAAACTGCAGATCACATCATCTGCTCTCCTGACATGACCAGAGATCGATCAGAAACCAATGATATCACCCTTTCATTGATTGGCCTCCTTGTATCTGTAATACATTGCTTGAACCCTGATTGGTACTCAGGCCTAGTAACTGGTCTGGGGTTCAGTCAGTAAATGAGTTACCTTAACGCCTATTCAGGGGACATGATGGAGTTGCATGTGAAGCTGACATGTAACTCTGCCTTGCTCACCTTTCGGCCATCTTGGAAGCCAACCAGCCCAGCTTCTGGACTCTGGAGACGGAGTACACTTAAACCCAGAACTGAATGGCTAAAAACTTGGTTTTTTGAACCAAGGTTCTGTGTGTTTAGCTAGTGTGTTAATCTTTAGCTTTCTTGTTTTATTCCCCACAATATTATCCTAAGTAATTTGCACTTTTTATTAATATTCTCTGCACTTAAATAAACATATATTTTATTCACCAACTCTGCCTCCACTGCTGCAATAAGTTATCTGGTGCCTAAGACTGTCAGTAACTACCTCTAGAATAACCTGTGGGTGTTCTGCTGTGAGCCAACCTCGCAGGGAGGATTCCCAAGTTGAGCCTGGTAAGGTCTAGAGTCTGTCGTTTGGCTCTGGGCTGGAGGGACATAAAAGGACTGGTGGTAGCACTACCTGGTTGAAGGTAAAACATGTGCCTGTAACCCCTTTGTAATTGTAGCTAGCCAGCCTCTTGGCGAAGAGAACTCCTAGCCCGGGTTGGGCAGGTAGAGGGGCTCTCTTTGACACAGGCTCACTCCTCCCCCATTATATCACCTAGATGTATCCCAGAGAAGTATTTCTCAGAAATAACATTTGAATTTTCCAATGACAACTCAAATTCTGACATCACCCCTAATAACAGTGTGAATCCTAATATTTCTCCAATCACAGAACAGATTCTTCCGTTTCTCCTGGGAGAGATCATCAACTTGTCCCTTTCATCAGGGATCTTCCCAGCGGGGTTAAAGGAGGCAGTGGTCCATCTACTCTTGAAGAAACCAACATTGGACCCTGAGGTCCTGACCAACTATCACCCAGTTTCTAATCTTCCATTTCTGGGCAAGGTAGTTGAGAGAGTGGCGGCTGAACAACTCCAGACCTTCCTGGATGATGCATCTATCCTTGATCCATTCCAGTCTAGTTTTCACCCTGGCCATGGGACAGAGACTGTGCTAGTCACCCTCACAGATGACCTCTGGAGGCACCTGGATCAGGGCAGGGTGGCACTGCTGTTGCTTTTTGATTGGACAGCAGCGTTTGACATGGTTGATTACGATCGTCTGACCCACTGCCTTACCGATATAGGAGTTCGGGGGGTTGCCTTAAAGTGGTTTTCCTCCTTTCTCTGTGATCGGGGATAGAGGGTGGTGCTTGGTGAGAGAGTCTCCCTGCGATATCCCCTTGAATGTGGGGTGCTGCAGGGGGTGATTCTCTCACCAATGTTGTTCAATATCTACATGCACCCCCTCGCCCAGCTGGCCTGGGGGGTTGGGCTGGGCTGCCACCAGTATGCAGATGACACCCAGTTCTATCTGTTGATGGATGGCTGTCTGGATTCCACCGCAGAGAATCTAACCAGGGCATTGGAGGCCATGGCTGGATGGTTACAGCAGAGCCAGTTGAAACATAATCCAACAAAGATGGAGGTCCTGTACCTGAGCTGTGGGGAGTCGAATCGGGAATCAGACTACCCACCCCGGATGGTGCAGCACTTGTGCCGTCCCAGAAGGTGAGGAGCCTGGAGGTGGTCCTAGATGCCTCACTTTCTATGGAGGCCCAGGTCACTGCAGTGGCCAGATCTGCCTTTGGCAGATCCAGCAGCTGGCTCTCTACCGGCTGACTGTGTCGCCTGTGTGGGCGCACATTTGACTGGTACTATGCCAACTGCACTGGCTACCAATTGAGTACCAGATCCATTTTAAGGTATTGATGTTAACCTTTAAAGTCCTGCACTGCCTGGGACCGACACAGGTGAGGGACCACCCTGTGTGGGCGCACATTTGACTGGTACTATGCCAACTGCACTGGCTACCAATTGAGTACCAGATCCATTTTAAGGTATTGATGTTAACCTTTAAAGTCCTGCACGGCCTGGGACCGACACAGGTGAGGGACCACCGCTCCCGATATGTGCCCCAGAGAGCTTTGCGCTCTGCGAAAAGATCTGCTGGTGA